TGGGTTTTGGGAGGCAGTTTGCAGAGCATCATCGCTCCTCTGAACTCAACTGCATCTCCACTGAAGCCAACTATTTCCAGAATCCCATGCAGCAGCAGATTTCTGGAGGCAGTTGTCAGATCATTGCTATCACTTCACCCTCCCTAGGTATTTGGGGCAAGTGGAGAAACATGATCCCTCTTGCTAATTGTTTCCAAATTCCCACTACTGCATGGGGTTCCAGAGGTAGTTGGCAGGTTGTTTCTATTGCTTGCCCCCATAGGTTTTCATGAAAGTAGAACAGAAGCAATCTCCTTTCCCAAATGATTCCAGATGCCTGTCACTTTCAGGAGACAGTCAACAATATCAATTAATGTTAATCAGGTCTCCCAGGGTTTGTCATGGCTAGCTCTGTCAGTGAAGATGAGGAGTGACTGTAAGTGCCAGAGGGGGAGATAAACATCAGCAGCTCCCAGCAGTCTCCCCCACCTATCTCAGTCACTGCTTAAGATGAGCCTTTAGCTGTAAGGGTCACTCCCCAGCAGTCTGATCAAGTTGAGGTAAATACAGCTAGTGTAGAGTTAAACATATCTCTAGTTTTAAAATGCAGAAGGGGGCATGGAGAGTTTTGCAGGGCTGCAAAATTAGCAGAGAAACAATCTCTCATTGAATCACAGAGCTGCAACAAACTGTCCAACCCCTTGCCATGCATGAAAAGCACCATCAAAGTACCCCCAACAGATGGCCTCCCAGCCTCTGTTCCAAAGCCTCCAAAGAAGAAACCTCCATCACACTTTTCTCAACAAGCCACTGCTAAGATCTTAGGATAAAAAGGTACAGTGTGAAGGCTTGTTGTGGCAGTCAACATCGTTGTTCCCTGACTCAACCCAAACTCTTCTGTGCAGGGATGTTTGGATTTTGGGACCATGGCTATTGTTTATTCTAGACCTGAATCTGTAATTCTCCAGCTTGACTCTAGTAATTGAAGTTATACTACATTTTTTAACTATCCTTATGAATTATTGTTTAAACTTTGTGCTATGACTTGGGAACACTGACCTTAGCTTTGTTTGCATGAACTTCTGGCATTTGCTTTCTGGACTATGCCTCTGATAATGCAGTATAATTATGACAAGGTTCAAGTAGCTAGGAAAACAATGGTCTCTTTCATTATCCATCTCCAGAAGTCTGGCACTAAGCAGGCTTCAGGGAGTACTTGGTGACTCCCATTGCTGCTAATCCATTCCACCCCCCACTTTTATTTTTTGAGGGGGGGGGGAATAAGAGCAATGACTCAACATTTTATATGTGGTTTTTAATCTGTTTGATGGATTGGTATAAGTTTTAATTATTTATATGCTTAGATCGTTTATATTTTTATGAGATGTGTTTGATTGTTACCTGTGTGGCATTGAATTTTTGCCAGATTTGTTAGCCACCTTGAATCCCCTCTCAGGTTGAGAAAGGCGGGATAGAAATGAAGTAAATAAATAAATAAATAAATTTTCTTCACAAACCCTTGGCAAAAACCTGTTGGTACATAGACTTTGAAAGGCATTGGTAACACCAATTGTTGCTGCTGTGCTCTCTCTGTGGCTTCAGAGGGAAAGGGCAGGCATGGCCAAACTTTGGCCCTCCAGGTGTTGTGGACTTCAAATCCCAGCCAGCTTACTGGCTTTTAGGAATTGTAGGAGTTGAAGTCCAAAACACCTGGGGGGCTGAAGTTTGCCCATGCCTGGCTTAGGAAGGCAGCTGGTGATGTCAACTGCTTTTGCCCCACTCTTGTTGTGGCTCTGGGGAAGGCAGGGAAATGGTGATCACCTGTGGAAACTTGCTGATGTGTAGGCTTTGGGAAGTGACTGACATCCATGTATGGTGCTTCACCCAATGAAACCAGGCTTTTAGTAGTAGTGGCTATGAGGTACATTCACATTTTTCTCTTACAGGTGCCCACCTCCCCACTAGCTCTACAAGGAAGCCTTGACCTAGGGTTTTCCACTTTCACAGTGTGTTTCTGTGCGCCTAAACCCTGTGAATGTGAAGGGCTGACAGTACCAATTTTTTATAGTTTAGCCAAATAATTCTTGAAGATTATCTGCTCTCGTGCTCTCTCATGATCTCTTAGATAAAGAGGGAGGCATTAAATTAGTTTGTTAAAACAATTGTTTCCAGTATTTCCAATAACTGTATTTACAACTGGTCATATAGTTTTTATGTATCTCATTTTTGCCTTATTGTTTTAATGTTTTGAATTGTTTAAATATTGCATTAATTTAAAATGAGATATACACCCATTTGACAACCATTTGGAATAAAATGAAGTAAAAATAATATTCTTGCTATTGTGGAGCAGCCAACTAGCCTGATCATGGGAACAGAATAGAGAAGAGGCTTGGCATATGGCTGTGAGATAAATGTGTAGGGAAAATGGAGACACATTGTAGAAGTACTGGATAAATATCTATATTGTTATAGGAAAAAAACTCATTTTGTCAGGGGCGATTTAAAATGAGACTAGATAAATTTCTGAAGCTCAAGATCTCATTCTGTTTATTGGGCAAACCTTCTCAGTAAATACATTCACTTTGAGACATTTCCCCATTATTTTCCCTTGTAAATTCTATAGCGTGTTTTCCAATTTTTGAATTTTTTGAATTGAATGTGCCAATGAATGCAACTTTTGTTATAGTTCTAGGATTTTGGATTTTCCGCAGTTTATTAGAACACAGCAACCCACAGAGGAGAAAAAAACAGTTTGAGTGCTAGACTAAGATTCCAGGAGATAAGAGTCTGAATCTCCATTTACCCGTGGAAACCTTGATCAGGTCACATCTTCTCACTTGCGAAATCTCCTCCACAAGAAAATTTTGATAAAAACCAACATTCCAGAGCTAACTGTAATATTGGGATGGTTGTGGCATTCCCAATAGGCTGGCAGATGTTAGGAGTTAATTGTGGTAGCTCTCCCGGTGCTTTTTTCTGGGCTCCTGGTTGTTCCACATTTTTAAGGTCAAAGCTATCTGTTCCACACTGTATAACCATCAGGTATGGTCACAGGTCTTAGAAAGAATGGTGGCAGGGCTATTTCCTTATTGTATAAAAAAAGTGTCTTGTGACCTTATCACACAGACCCCCCCCCCCAGTAAAGTGGCAGGGATGTGTGGCCTCTGTCACTCCTCACACCACTCCTGAGCAACAATGCTTTCCCCCATCACAATGGGGAAAATGATACCAAAGTGGTCCTGAAGTGTGCTGACTCCATTAGAGCCAGCACAGCACAGGAGCCTTCTCTGAGATAGGAGAGAAGTGTCTATGACATTTCCACTCCATTATAGGAGAGAAGTGTCTATGATATCTCCACTCCAGTTGAAAGTGAAGTTTCAGTAGGAAGTCCAGCAACGTTGTGTGATGGGCAGTGTGCCCATCTGTTGCTGGACTGTCCCTTTAGCATACTAGGATGCTAAAAAAAGGTAACTGTGATAAGGTTCTTGGACTGCCTCTTACATTGCCCAGTTTTAGTGTGCATGTATCAATTCATTTCAAAGAGAAAAATTGAGAATTTAGATATTTGACTGAGTGGATGGTACTTAAAAGGTAGGTATTGTTGCAAAAGTCAAAATCTCTCTTTGTTTTTAGATTAAGGATTTTAGATCCCTGGTTCAGTATCTTTCCTTATCATCAGCAATAACCATCACAGACATGATAAAGAATTCGTTGCTCTCCTAGTTCACCTGTACCGAGCATGAAAGAGGCATGTTCGGTCATGTAATCACATGGCTATTATCCAATAGAATCAGAGAGGCAGCATGGTGTAGTGGTATGTACATCTGACTCTGATTCCGCTCTCAGCAATGGAAACCTTAAGCGACACTGAGGCCCCATCTACACTACCGAACAATCTAGTCTGAAGTGCATTATATGAGTCAGTATAGACTCATGTAATGTAATTTGAATCACAATGAACTGGATTATGTGTGTTTGCACTTCCATATAATTCTGCTCAATGCAGTTAATCTGCATTCTGAAACTGGGTTATATGGCAGTATAGATGGGGACTCAGCCTCAGAGGAAGAGAAGAACAACTTGCATGTGACCAAATCTTGTCAAGAAACCCCCTTTATAGGTTTGCCTAAAAGTCACCAAAATCAGAAATAACTTCAAGACACATAACAAATTTAACAGATTAATATTTTGATTTTTTTTAACCACAACATTGAAATTTTGCAAAAAAAAACCCCCAACCTTCCATTCCATACCATGAATCAAAATAGAATGGTTAATGGCTAATGTGTAAAATTTTAGAATGGCAATGGTTATTCTATTGAAGTTGTACTAATAGAAATAAGAGTGTATTATACATAAAGCATTCTCAAATTAGCCATTGGTCAGTATTTATTTATTTATTTAATATCCCACTGAAAATGCATTTCAACCTTTATGTTACATATTGATGTCCTCAAATTTACAGAAAACTGGAATAGGGAGTAAAGAGTTAGGACTCTTCCACATGGCTATGTAACCCAGAATATCAAGGCAGATATCTGCTTTGAACTGGGTTATCTGAGTCCACACTGCCAAATAATCAAGTTCAATGTGAATTTTATACAGCTGTGTGGAAGCAGTATTAGTGAAGTCCAAGAACAAAACAGATTTTGTGGAGGTAGCATGGAAATATTTCTTTCACAGGAAGGACTTATATTCCCCTGATTATTTTTTTTATTATTGTCAGCTGTGTATATAAAGATCAACTCTCAGAACAACATAAAACCTAGGCAGTTGTTGTTATCAGTAAACAGAAAACAGCAGTATTTAGACTTTCTAAAATCACTAGTAATTATTGTTACACTCATTTTAATGCCTTGGGTATGCATTGTGTGATGTGAAATAAATATTCATATTTAAGTAGAGTTGTATGCTGTTTTTAGTTTTTAAAATTCTTTTTTAAGAATAGAAAGATGGTGGTGTGAATCACCCTGATAAAAGCCTTTCTAATGTTTTATCTTTTCCCCACATTTTTGCAGGTCCCATCGTGTGATTTACCATGGAAAAATTGTTTTGTAGCATCCTGGTGTTTGGAGTCGCTGTTGTGGTCAACGCTTGTCCAAAATATTGTGTCTGCCAGAACCTTTCTGAGTCACTGGGGACTCTTTGCCCATCCAAGGGTCTCCTTTTTGTACCACCAGACATTGACAGAAGGACGGTTGAACTCCGGCTTGGGGGAAACTTCATTATTAACATCAGTAGACAAGACTTTGCAAACATGAGTGGACTTGTTGACCTTACGTTGTCTAGGAATACAATCAGCTACATACAGCCGTATGCTTTTGCTGACTTGGAAAGCCTACGCTCTTTGCATTTGGATAGTAATAGGCTGCCTGATATTGGGGAGGACATTTTGAGAGGCCTGATTAATCTTCAGCATTTGATTCTAAACAACAATCAGTTGGGATATATTTCAGATGAAGCATTTGAAGATTTCTTGGTGACCTTAGAAGATCTGGATCTTTCCTACAATAACCTTAGAGGTATCCCTTGGGAATCTATAAGGAAGATGGTAAACTTGCACCAGATCAGTTTGGACCATAATTTATTGGATTATATTACAGAGGGAACCTTTGCAGATCTTCAGAAATTGGCCAGGTTGGATCTAACATCTAACAGACTTCAGAAGCTCCCTCCTGATCCTATATTTGCCCGGTCCCAAACATCTCCTTTAACCTCAACTCCATTTTCCCCACCTTTATCTCTGAGCTTTGGAGGAAACCCTTTACACTGTAACTGTGAGCTGCTTTGGCTGCGGCGTCTTGACAGAGATGATGATATGGAAACATGTGCTTCTCCTCCAGGTCTAAAAGGGAGGTACTTTTGGTATGTCAGGGAGGAGGAATTTGTTTGTGAGCCCCCTCTGATAACCCAGCATACTCACAAATTATTGGTTTTAGAAGGACAAACAGCCACTTTAAAGTGCAAAGCCATTGGAGATCCATCTCCAGTCATTCATTGGGTGGCACCAGATGACCGGTTGATTGGGAATTCTTCACGGACAGCTGTTTATGACAATGGCACCTTGGAAATCCTGATCACAACTTCCAAGGATTATGGGAAATTCACTTGCATAGCGGCTAATGCTGCAGGAGAGTCCACTGCAACAATTGAATTGTCCATTGTTCAGCTTCCACACCTCAGCAATGGTACGGGTCGAGCAGCCCCACCCAAATCAAGATTGTCGGATATTACCAGCTCCAGCAAGTCTAATCGAGCGGAAACCAAAGGGCCACCAGAAAGAGCAGTCTTGATCTCTGAGGTGACAACTACCTCGGCATTGGTCAAATGGACAGTGAGCAAATCAGCTCCAAAAGTTAAAATGTACCAGTTACAATATAACTGCTCGGATGATGAAGTCCTAATTTATAGGTAAGTGTTACTGACTGTCAATTTTTCTTTTAGGAAGTGAAATAAAGGGATGACAGGTGATTTGGTTGAATGAGTCATTGAGCCTGCCTCTTCCTAATAGACTTGTCACAGAAGACTAGAACTGAAAGAGAACAATTTTCCTATCCAAGCACTACCTCTACCGGAGTTGTGGCATATGTAAGGAAATTACATTGGAAATTCAAGTAATAGGACTAAGGCCTCATGACTCTTGATCATGTATATTTTTATTCACCACTGGAAAAGGAACATGTGTCTGAAGGGATTGAAAGCTAAGTCCTACGTATTTTCCCCTGGTTTAACCAGAAGAAGGGCAGCTTCTTTTTCACTTGGCCATAGTGTTCCTCATGTGTTCTGTACATTTCAGAATAATCACATAATTTGGAAATACAAATGGGGAAAATGAGTAGAAAGACTATTTGTAGGGCTGGGCAACCACGGAAAATTTTGTTTCTAAACTTGATTCGTTTTTAGGGGGTTTTTGCGTTTCGTTTTTTAAAAGAATTCCGAAATTTTTCTTTAAAAAAGTTCATATTTACAAAATTTCGAAATTACGAAACAATTTCGAAACAATAACGAATCGATTCGTTAATGGCGGACGCTTGCGCAATACGCTAAACCCTCCAAATGGGACAGGGGGAACTTCTGAAGCTTCCCTCTCCCTCTGTTGTTTGACTGTTGGTGTGATAATTTATTTTTTTATCACTGATAAAACAAACAACAACTATAAAACTTGCACCAGACATACGGAAATAATAACGAAATAATAACGAAACAATTTCGAAACAATTACGAAATAAATTTTAAAAATTCGTTTCGATTTTTAGTTGCTCCTGAATGGTTCAATATCGGATCGTAAGCCACTTTAAATACGAATTATTAACGAATTACGAAATTAACGAACGAAACCGCCCAGCCCTAACTATTTGTTTCAGGGTATGGGTGAAGGTTACATCTAAAAGACCACAGTGATCTTTCAGAACCTTTTCTTCAGACTATTGATGATGATGATGATGATGATGATGATGATGCATGCTTTCAAGTCATTTCTGATTTATGGTGAATCTAGCATGAGTTTATTCTGGGGCTAAGACTGTATGACCTGCCTAAAGTCATCTACTGAGTTTACATAGCCAAGTGAGGGAATCCAACTCTAGTTTCCAGAGTGCTTAAGCCACTATGCTAATGCTCTTTCTGTTGTCTCATTCAGATTATAGGGTGCCTCTATTCAGAGTCTTCCTTAGACTTTCTGAAAGAGATTTCAAAGTTGCAGTGGACCTGGGAAGTAATAAGAAATGCTGATCATCAATATTACTTTTTTCTTTCTTTTTTATTTTCCCACTCACTATAGTATAAGGCTTGAGAAGGTGGAGCTGTCAGAGCTGAATTGAGTATAAGCTAAATGTCGTTATTCCTTTTTCTATCTTACTTCTACTTTTTTGCTTTTTTTGAGTTCGTATTGCTTTGATTGTAATTATATTGTTCATGTAACAATTAATTTAAAAAGAAACAACTGTTTGTTTTCAATCCTGCCAGCGATATGAAAACTGAAAGTTCATCAAGTGTTGGAACAGTTTGTTCCTGACTTTTTTGTATTTATGGCAGTGCTGACCTGCAGCAAACAGACCTAGTCCTGTTATGCAGCAGCATTAGCCTTAGACATTAGGAATTAGCCTTGGGAATTACAGAAATGGGTTTCCATCTCCAAGTACTATGTATTTCTTTATTGGCTTATTGATTTATTGATTTGTTTATTTTCTTGCCTTTTGCCCTCTCAGAGATGCAAGGCAGCCTAGAAAAATTAAAGCAAATACAATTAAAAACCATGATCAGGAAAGTATATTAAAAATCTAAACTATAAACTGTCAGCATAATTAAGAGCAATGACAAAATATGTCCATGGGGATAAAATAAGAGTACTGTGGCATGATTACTGAAAGCTCACTTTCAAATGAGCCTCTGTAATATTTTTCCAAAAAGATAGAAGGGAGAGAAATGCAGATTTGTGCATGCTCATGTATATAGAGCAGTGGTTCTCAAAGTGTGCTCTAGGGAGCCCTTAGGGCTCCACAATTCCCTCCTCTTCCTCCCTCCTCCCCTCCCCCTCCAAGCTTTCCCTTCTCCTTCCTGCTCCTCTCCCTGCTTCCCTTGCGGCCAAAAGCCTTTTTCCCCTCACTTTCCACACATCCCAGATCCTTTCCCTCTTACTTTCCTGGCTTCCAAAACCATGTTCGCCCACCACCACTCAGAGGTACATTAATAGTGCTTTTCCTGCATGGCAGAAGGGAGTTGAACTGGATGGTCCCTGGGGTTTCTGCTATTATTATTATTATTATTATTATTATTATTATTATTCTAAAGGCTAGGTGGCCATCTGTTGGGGTGCTCTGATTGTGCTTTTCCTGCACAGCAGAAGAAGTTTAGACTTACCAGAAACCACTCATTAATGTGATTCTGCTTTGAATCGTGGTGCTCATTGGTAGACCACCCACAAAAACATCCTCTCTCAAATGTCACTAAAGTTGGCCCCTGAAACATGGAAGAAGGGGGTTAGACCGGATGGCCCCTCGGGTCTTCCACCGAAATGCTGTTGTTTATGTTGGTATAAATGTTTACCAATGACACACACACACATATATAATATAATATGTAAACATTACACAGGGCTCCGTGAGAAACTTTTGCTTCAAAAAGGGATCTGCAGCTGAAAAAGTTTGATAACTAATGATATAGAGTGATGTAAATTTTGAAAGAATGATTATATTTTAGTAACATCTTAGAGTAGTGGGGGGGGGGGGGGGGTGGTTATGAGACTTTCTTATCTACTGAGCTAATAACTAATGTGGTATAATGGTATGAATTTTGAACTATGGCTCAGGGAGTACAGGTTTGGAATCCCCACTGGAAACCTTCAACAAATCACACTTACAGCCTCTGAAGAAGATGATGGACAGTCTTATCTTGTGAAGAAAATGCTGTGGAAAATTCACTTTAGGGCCACCACAAGTCCAAAAGGAAGACACACAACAGCAACAATCCATAGTTCAATTGCTCATTGTTGATGGGCAACTTCAAAGATTCTGAACTCTCCTGTTTTGGGTCTTTACCTTTAAACCAGATTGAGGACTCATCACATGGACTTTTGGCTCCATCCTAGGATACTTCCAGGACTGTGCTGGCCGTTGCCGTTCACATGATGCAGGGTTACTTTTGGGAGGGTTCCATACTGGAAACACCCTAGGACAGAGCCTACAATGGGGCTAGCACAGGGTGATGCTTTCTCTTGTGTGGTGGGAAAGGCAGAGATGTGGGGCATGGTATGACATTTTTTTCTTGCTGTTCCATGCATTCACCATGCTGGTTGATGAATTCTCTCACTGTTGTCCACATAGGGGACCTCAATGTGATGAGGTCCTTAGAGTGTAAAAACTTTAAAAGGGTGTGACAGGGCCCAAGTATGGTATTTCTTGTCTTAAAACTCAATTGTCTTACCAGAAACCACTCATTAATGTGATTCTGCTTTGAATCATGGTGCTCATTGGTAGACCACCCACAAAAACACCCTCTCTCAAATGTCACTAAAGTGAACTAACATGAATAAATTTGACAGATCACATCCCACATTAAATTAAGCACATTTTGCTGTTTCTGCACAATTGGGAGATGTTAACTCAACTGCTCACTGACTCCATAATCCTCAGTTTCTATACACTTCAAAAACAGTTTACAGATGAAGCCGCATGGGGGCCCAGCAGAAGTAGTTTAACATTGTATAATAGGCACTGTGGGACTCTTTCTCTAAACTGTATTTGAGGTGTGTAAAAATGAGGGGGTTTTTTTGCGAGGGGGGCTATGCCTGAAGAGGTCCTTAAGGTGCATCTCTTCTGTAGAATTAATGCAGTTTGACACCTCTTTAACTGGCATGGACAAATGCTATAAAACAGGCATACGTCCTCCAGGTGTTTTGGACTTCAATTCCCAGAAACCCCAGTCAGCTTACTGACTGTTAGGAATTGTGAGAATTCCATTAGAATTGGAATTGTGGGAATTCCACTGGAATTGGAATTGAAGTCCAAAACACCTGGAGGGTCAAAGTTTGCCCATACTTGCTATAAAATTATGGGAGTTGCAGTTTTACAATCCCATTACCCCATAGCATTGAGCCATGGTATCTAAAGTGGTGTCAAACTACACTAATTCTACAGCATAAGTGCATCCATAGCCTGATTTTGACAGTGGGCATATTGGAATTGCTAGCTAGAATGACTATGTTGAATAACACATATTAATCCTGATTGTACTGAAGATGAAGGGTACTGGCATGCTTGGCTCCACAATTTCTTGATCCAATTTGCTAACACTGTGTTGAAAAGATGAAATTATGTATCTGCTCCTGGCATGTGCCTCTGAGAAGTATTTTGCAGCTGCTGGATTTATGAAAGATTTAGATTCATTTTATTTTGCTGTATTTCTTAAGGGTGATAAAAGTGAACCCTACAAATTAAGAATTACTGCAACATCTCACTCTGTGGAATGCTTGCATTCACACTATAAATATATATTAGATATTTCTCAAACTTTATATTTTTCATGTGCATTTTATATCCCAAGGAGGCTAATCTTGTAAAATATATAAATGTTCCATATCCCAAGTGTATTTAAACAATCGTGTGGCTGAATGGATTACTAAAACATTAGAAATTTTATTTTTCTTATTATTTAACCTCAACCCACAATATTAAGGGCATTATATTATCATCTGTGGAATATACTTCCAAATAGACTTATTTAAGATTTGGTTATGATGCAGATTCGATATTTATTTGTGCTAATTAGAAGATTTAGGACTTGCAGGAGAAAGCTGTAGCTAGTCAGACCATTGGGCCATCTTACTTAGTTCTGAATATACATTAACTGCCTCCAGCTCACTAGAGTTTTGGAAAGGAAGTTTATTTAAACCTTTACCTAGAAATACACCAAGG